CACTTGGGAAACGGTTGGTACTGTGGGATCGTCGACCGGAGAGTTGGCAGTGAGTGAAGGCGACTGGGCACGTATCCTGTTACGGTTCTTCAAAAGCACGTACGGGATCCCCAGGGTGAAAGATAACCTTCCATCAATTTGAGGTAACTGGACGATGCCCCCAATCATTGTGGGAATTCAGGATGTGCAGCGGGAGTTGGCAGGACTAAATAGGTTCAGGGCGGCGGGGCCTGACGGAATTCACCCAGGGATTGTGCAACCGCTGACTGACGTCATAGTAGGACCGATCTTTGTGTTATTTAAAGAGTCGCTTAGACTGGGAACTGTACCGAACGATTGGCGCAAAGCAACAGTAGTGGCAATACACAAGTCTGGATACCGGCGAAATGCCGAAAAATAACAGACCCGCACGTTGGATATCAGTAATATGTAGGTGTTTGGAGCGCCTAGTTAGAAGACGAGTATGCCACTACTTGGTCAATAGTGGGCTGTTGGTATCAGCTCATCACGGAGTTCTTGAAAAGCAATCTTGTCTGACAAATCTGAGGCTTTTCCTAGATGAGGTCACACGTAGAATTGATGAGGGCCTACCGATGGAGGTGTGCTATCTGGACTTCCAGAAAGCATTCGACTCGGTCAGCCACCATCTGTTAGATCATAAGATAATAATAATTATTATTATTATATTAAATGTATATTTCACGGAGCCCCGTGACGCATGCATAGGCATGATCTGATGTACAACATATTCATCATCACAGGAGAAGTCCAAAAAGAGTTGAAGGTCATAAGGGAATTATGACGGAATGGAACTCGCAGTAGACAAATTCTCGGAGACAAATGGCGAACATGGCGGAAAGCTCCAACAAAAGAACTCAAATTAAGACAAAAAACAGGAACCGTCATAATAGATTAACAGTGGGACTAATTGGATGCACAATCATTTAGTACAGGGAATGGTAGAACATTTAGTGGCATTTACGAAATGACGAGAATTGACTATACTTGCACGCGACAAAAAACAAGGACCACAAACTGGACAATGGACGTGCATTTGTTACGGATAATTGATATGGAAGAGGGTGAGCTTAGTAGTACATTTATGACGGAAAACTGATCAGTAGGTAAAAAGATACGAATATGGAAAAACCAGAAAAGCGGAATTATAAGCATACATGTCAATGGATTGTGATCTACAGGCAATAGAGATGAGAACTGCACGAAATGTAGATGGTAAGAAAAGTCAAACGTTGGTGTCGTGGAGACGAAAAGAAATAAAAGCTGGATTGGTGGAGGTTTTTGAGAGCCTTTTTGTGTATGAGCTGGAAGGTTTGTCATCAGGAAAAATGGTTAAATAAAGTCCTGTCATGACGCCTAACTTCTGAGTGGAATCACAGTTTGCACGAGGGTGATACGAGTAGAAGCGGGGAAGAGAGGTATCAGACTATGCCAGGTCTTCTATCATTGATGTAAGAACACGGGGCATATGGTCACTCCGAGTGTGCATGTAGGGAAAGCAGCCCAGTCACTGGAAGATTTTATTGTATCCTGCTACTGGATTTTCAGTTATACTCTGGATTAATTCACCATTGAATATCGTGCCAATCTAACGGAAGTCGCCCTTTTTCTTAAAACAGCAGATCTCTGGAAAGGAAGACGGAAACGCAAAACAGTCTAGGTTTTTACCGAGCTGATGAAGGAGTAGGAGGGAAGAAAGCATGCAAGTTATCGCGCGATTTAATACTAGAAGTTACAAACAGTCAAGTAGATAACTACTAACTGGTATCTATAAAACAGTTGCCAAATATTGCCACTAGAGAAACTATGCAATGGCAACAAAGGTGAGGTAAATAAATCCGATTTGTCACTACGGCATAAAAGCAGATTGGGCATGTAACGAACGTAACCATCAGAAGAATATCTATCCCACTGATCAGCTATGTAGGTTGACCAGTGTACTTGTTGGAGGATGCGTGTATAAATGAACACTGCTGCCTGGTCAGCATGTGCCACAGGAGTGAGTGGAACTTAAAGGATTTTGAATGGAGGATGTAGCTTAGATGTTTAGTATTATGGATGACAAATCTGGTGTAGGTTATCACCAAAACACTATCTATTGCACTGATGTCCCATATAGCTTGACCAGTGCACTTGTTGGAGAATTTGAAGCATTGAGTTCCCTTTATTCATTTCATCAAAACAGGAAGAAGACAAATATCGCGAGATTTTAACAGTTCGTTTAATCTTCTCAGTCGCTGACGTTAAACAAACAGGCACATATATAGCACATTGGATGAATCAATTTTGGTGAACAAACGTGTACAAGCATACAATGATTACTAAATTTAGAAGTAGAAGTTCAGCTCCACGGTAAGTGGATCGCTTGTATCAAAAACGTCTGTGCGCTTA